ACTAGCAGAACAACGTTTACTGAGTTTTGCGGATAATATTTGTCTATGAAAATGAGTATTTACTGTGGAGATTTTACCATATTAACCATATATGGTAAAATCTCCAATATGAACCAATATTTTTTTGCAACTTATAAAAAAGAAAACATACTTCTTTCTGTCCTGTCCTGAAAGGCCATATGCAGTAAAACTACGAAAGTAGTCGTAGAATATTTAGTATCTGCTAGTGGAGCACCTTGAATTCAATACAAGCTAACGTAACCTAACATATATCCATACTTTTTTTTTAATGCATTATTTGCTACTATTACTATACTGTCTATAATAATGATCCGCTGACAGATGCAGTCAATCAGATTATCTAACATGTGGCTTTCACTGGGGTCAAATTATTCATCCAGTGATAGGTTCAACTTCAAGACAGAGGTCTACCGCAGGATTTACCTTAGCTGCGCTAGCGTTTGGGATGATGCAAGTACTTAAAGAGCAGTCTTTAGCCAGTGTGTGCTGCCAGGGATGCGATATGGCGCTAAGGAGTGGCTGCTAACCATATGTCATACAAAGAAGTATTGTAGATTGCAGTTGCCAGGGAACAAGGAAACTAGTAACGACCCTGAATAACGAAGCACCTCGAAGGAAGCGAAACAAAGCGGTGCGTCCTCGCATTATTAGGAAAATAATTGTATTTTAATTTTTTAAAGGGTTATTAGTATTCAAATAAATATTTCCAAATAGTTTAAATTATCGAGTATATTTTAGTTTAAACACAAACTGTAAAACTTTACCGAATGTACTGTAAAACCATTTTTTGTGTTTGGAACCAAATTATGATGAATGCACAAAATATGCCAAGTTATAATATGATGACTGTGGTAGACTACTTAGACTACTATTCCTACAAATGCTGAATAACGAACAATAAACGACATAGAGTTGAAAAGACATGAAATCTTTAACCCTTATTTTAGGGCGCTTCTACACGGTGCAAGTAGCTGGAGGGGGAAAAGACATGTTTTATTTGCGTCAGTAGCATGAACGAGTTACTTGCACTTTCTGTTGATATAATGTGCATTTATAGTCCCTTTCGGCAAGCAAATAACCTGTTTAAGTGCCTCAACATGCGCAAGCTACTGTGTATAAGCACCCTTAGGTTGGCTCTGGAACCTAGATTGGCGCCTTTCCGAGTACATAAATTCCCGTCGCCTCTTCTTTGGCACTACTTCGTAATGTCCTTTATTATGAGCATCCGTATCCACAACTCGCTGGTGATCGTTGTCGAGAAATATACATGGCACTCGAATAAGGTTAGAGTTCAGTTCGATAGAAGTCAGTCATGTGTCCACCAGTCGATTCAACTTTAAGCTTAGAGTTCGCAAGCTCTACGGATATTCGTTGAGGGAGTCATTAGAATAATGTAATGTTATTACTTATGCACATATGTATGTATGTATATATATAATCTAATCAAATTAAAGCTTATTTGCTATGAATGATGGTACATCAAATTACAGATGGATAGTTTCAAATGGTCCGTGTACATTCTGCCTTAAAACTAAGAAATAATAGAGTAAGAATAGTAATAATAATCAATATTTTAGATGTCAATGCTTCAGAATTCTTAAATTACAAGTGATAAGAATTATAAGTTGTGATTACAAATTTGTATCTATTAAAAATCATCGATTGTGTAGTAGCATTTGTCCATAAGCAAGGATTTAATTTATTTTTGAAGTATATTATTTCACTATTATATAGCACGTACAAAATTTATGTCTATGTATTATATTTTTGTAATAGACATCAACTGGTAATTCATTCACTAGCTTCAATTACACACCTGCCACACACAGCTCTGCATCACTCAAAGGTTGACTGGGAAAAATGCCTATGGCATTAAGTCCGCCTTATGCAATTTATTTGCAGGAAGTATTCAATATGTAAATAAATATGGTGTCTCCTACTAGATACTACTAATTGGTAAAACACCTAATTAGGCTTTTAATTCCAGGCTTACTCTACGCCATTCCTATGTTAAACATTTATTTAAAAGGTAGAGTATATGTAGGTAGGTAAGGTAGGTAGTATTTAGGTAAAGAAAAAGGCAGAATGAGATGATTCTACACTCCATTAAAATTCAGACAGAAAATGAGAAGGAAATCTTTTTAAATACAAAATTATAATCGTTTTGTTGATATTATTCTATCTAGATGGTTTCAATATCTAATAGACATCATCACCTGGCACGTTTTTCGTTTCACCCTAATCAGGTAATTAGTAGGTACACTAGGCCTTTAACACTTCCCAGGCATTCGAATGTCGTATGCAATCTAAAAATATTCGAGAATCCATACATCTATTTTAATTGTACTCGCGAAAACATTTAGATCTCACAGAGAAGAGGAAGAAATAACAATAACTACATACACGCAATTTATTAGGTACGACAATAAAATGACCAACTAGAAACATTTTAATCATAACATACCACATTCAAAAATCGATCATAATCACAACCAACGTTTTTATTACAGACTGAAGGACAAAATCTAAAACATTGTATTTTATTCATTATTTCTTCCGTACTACGAGAATGTATTTACATATGTACAATGTGAGCACAATATAGAATACTCACTAATTAATTGTTTAATGGGGAGACAAGTGCCTATTTTACTAAGATTGTGATGTTTTTGCATGGTACAGGATTTTCGGTAAACCTGTAAATGGACTTATTCAAAAAGTATTACTTAGTCACCTTTAAAAATATTGCAGAAAGTAAGCCAAAGAATATTCTCTTTCTATGCAGTTATAATTGTAATTAAATAATTAAGTAAGTAGGTACCTAAATCAGCATAAGAAATCACCTCTGTTTTTCCGTAATAATTTTACTTGAAACTTTTTAAAACAAAAATAACTTGCTCTCGTCAGAAATAAACAATGTCGAAATTTAATATATTTTACTTCATTTACTTCTTGGATTAAATCTTATTAATCTGAAAATTCTTAATCTGAAAATGACATCTTCCACCATGCGTTTTTATATCGTATTGTTTTTGTATACTACCCAGTAGGTGAAAAGTTTGAAATTTGGAGGTGGTGTTTCGTTTGTAGACGGAATAACTTTCGAGGCTGCTACGACTAACAGTACCCTGATAATCACTTGAATCATAGTTTATTTAAAATTTCATATATCATATCATGAAAAATTAAAATCGTCATGGTAAAAATACATCAGGCAAAAAAAAATTCACGTCTTTTTAGACTGTCTGTTATTTAATTTTGTCGACAATAACTTTGGTGTCACTTACATAAAATATTTCCTATATACAACATAATATAGATAAATTACATCCAGACCCAGAACAAATGATCCTTACACATTATTTGTCCTGGGAGGGAATCGAACCCCTCTCACTAACACCACTAGACAAACTCGTTTGACATTTAAAGATTTCATGAAAATAAACAGTCTACTGTCAAAACTCCCCTCATTTATATAGTGGTAATAGAGGAAATATAATTTTCCGTTTGTCGATAGTAATAAAAAAACACTTATAGTATTTTTTATAGATCCAGCACATTACATATCCAATATCTTATAATTCTGAACACCTACATCACACCAAACAGTGAACATTATGGTCTGTATTTCAGAATTATCATTACACACCCAAAAATAATTTTTGATCGAAAGTAAAACAGTGGAAATATAGAAATGTCGAGCCTAAGTGGGAAACAATAATGTTTTTTATAAACAGTTTCAACTAGAACCATCGCGCTTACACTTTGCACGTATTACACGTACGTAAGTCGAATTATAAAGTACTATGCAGGGAATAATTAAAATCGGCAGAGTTGATTGCTGTTTTTATAGAAAAAACACATGTAGGTATTTTAAAATACAATCAATCAGCAAGTGACGGACGAAGCTTTCTTCTCTCAAATTGAAAGAAAAGACAAGGAAGCTGTAGGTTACTACTCTCGCAATTACCAAAACTTTAAAATAAAATTGTTACTTATTATTATTAGATTCATAAAATGGTTAAAAATATTTGTGAATTAACAACTTACCTTTTTACTTGTAATGATAAAAATCGTTAATAAATAAACTCAGTGCGGAAGTGATCAAAATGGAATCGTTCGCATATATGAGACCTTGCCAATCTCGTACGGGCATGGATATATATGTTGGCAATGGTAACGTCACCAAAGCTGAACAACCGCATTACACAGTTTACTTTCACTCAACATGACTTTAGCAAAACACTGGCGTTAATACCCTGCAGCGACGGAATTTGCCTTTACGCGTAACTCAAATGTCCCGCCTGCTCACATGTCTATGTCATTCCATAACAACTTGAACAAAAATCAAAACAATTATTTTATATAACATATAACACAAACACGCCTCTGTTTTAAATATACTTGTATTTGCGTCTATAAGAACTTAAAATATCATTTATGGCTTAGGTAAATCGTTTTTATACATTCGGTATGATAATTTATAAGTTCAATCGTGCACATTAATAGCTCTGTATCACGTCTATGCAACTGACACTGACAGTCGCCACACTCAGGCCTCTGGCTATAGCACCGATAGCACCTAGCACGTCAACTTAATGTCAAGTCGACATGAAAATCTGCAAATTTATATTTGCGCCCTCTGTTGACGCAATGTAACACTTAATGTGTACACTGCTTTACCTACACTATATTGTCGTCTCCGTCCCTTAGAAAAAATTCCATTTCATAGAAAATTGATGAAGGTTTTTCATTTCTAATTGCAGAATTGTTATATTATCTGTAGCACAGTTTATGTTCACTATCTGTTTAGCATGCAATAACAGCTGTTACTTATAAGACGTTTATTGAATATTTCAAAACTTTTATTTTTATTTTTTGTCCTTTAAAACCAAATTCTTACTAAGTTAGAGGTACTACTCTATTAACATTATCTAAAACTATTCCGTAACATTTAATACATTTTAAGATTATATACTATGGCTCCAAAACCTCCAACAGCAGTCACAAGGCCTCCTATTAGTGATTCAAGTCTTGTGTACGTTCCCGAGGATGTAGTTGAAGGTATATTTTTCTCTTGATACAGAAAACTAGAGCTAATTATAATAACAAACTTTACTTGTATGAATTAGATTTAACAAGTACTTACCTAGAAAATTTTACAGATCGGTATCTAGCCATTATTATATAGGTACTCATAGTTCAGACGCTTGTTTTATTTAAAACCAGATGTTTTCTCAAAACCCATCTAGGTGGACTACAAATTTTGTTTGTTTTCGGATTTTCTGTAGAAACAGTATTGTGCCGAACTCTATATTTAAGCAATAAATAAGATTAAACGGTTGAATGTATACACGCTTTTTATGCTTAGGTTATCAGGAACGCATAGAAACAGGAATAGACTGGACACTAATTGAACTTGGAGCTCAACACCATAGAAGAAAAGCTATTAACAGAGAAGCTATTCCCACAATTACTTTCTCTGATGGGCTGATAAATAAAATTAACAGAGGTTACTTGAAGGGGTTTTTGGATGACACATCTTGTATCAATCTTGATCAACAGTGGGAACAAATCTTGCCAGCAACATTATGGGATAACGAGAAATTTGCGACAGATGAAGGGAAAATATTATTTAATGGCATAAACTGTCTCACTGATGACCTAATTAAATTGATTTATAAAGCCGTGGTTACAGGCAACCGCGATACTTTGTGGAGTGAGTTAAAGATGGCGGAAGTGTTGAGGGTGAATAATGAGAAGGTAGGTAGGATAGTAAAAATGAGACTGAATAGTATTAAATAGACTGAACTGAAAAAGGTAGGTTTTAACTCAATTCAAGGCATGGACTCGTCATGTCCATAATTCCATCACCTTACAGAAGCTTACATCATTGGTGCTGTGAATTCTAATTGTTTTGTAATTTTGACGCATGTGTATTATATCTGAGGGGGTTACTTTAAATAACATTTGCAATAGTGAATATATGAAAAGGTTTTGATAAAAATGAAAAGTCAGATTACTTTTTAAACACAGTCGTATATTTCGTTTGCTTTGTTAGCATTCCAAACAAAACTGAAATCTCTCTCTCCGAGTCGGCTTTTACAACACCCACGGTATAATTAGGGGTCAACACTCTGTACTCTTACTTCACTTGTGTATTTCGAGGATGTCGGGCTAGTTTTAGGTACGGTGAAGGCCCTTTATCCAAGAACTGAAGCGTTTGTCGGATGCCAACACTGGTTTGGTGACATTACCAATTGTAATTTTATGTTTTGTTTTCGTTTAGTTATGTGTTGCAGTGCACTTACTAACAGGCACTGACAATAATGTTCTTAAACTGTAAAGCAAATGGGAGATGGTCCCAATTACTAATTAGTTTTAAGCTTAACTTACGTACTTATGGGGTTTCGTTCCACATTGAATTTTGCTATATGAGAACTGCACTCGCGGCTCGGATATATAAATTTATAAGTGAAACTTGCCTGGTTTAAGAAATGTAGGAAAACAATTAATTATGTAACTTTTTTATTTAGTTATGAAATTACCTCATAACTTTATCTTTTCCCAGATTACTGAATTAGACGTCGGTCTTCTTGAGTTTAAAAAACTAGTATCACTCAATTTGTGTGGCAATTACATCATGGATATTGAGCCGAACTTTATACCACCAACGTTAAGAGCTCTTGAACTTCAAGCTAACCATATCTCCAATATTAATTCATTCGTAGAAAGTTTGCCTCATCACTTAATATATATAGGGTTGGCCAAAAACTTGCTAACTGATGGTCGGTACTTGGTAATTAATTTTGGAAAAACTAGAGTTCGGATTTCTCTTTAAGTGGCAAATAATAATTAAATGTTTGTTTTTTTTAGAAAGTGTTGATGCATTTTCGCGGTTGCCATTTAATTTAACTGTTCTTGATCTATCAGATAACGACATCTATCATTTAGATCCGTTACTGGATGCCTTGGTCAGACTTCCTAATTTAACCTCATTGTACCTCGTGGGAAACCCTTGTTCGGTTGGTAAACATTTACAAACTAATCAAAAGCTGTGTTAATAGATGGCGTTGTTTTAAAATTATTTAATTTTCTAGGTCTGTGCTACATATGCTCGGCTTATTTTAATGGTATTACCACGTTTAAAATGGCTAGATTCTCGTCAAGTATTGCCTACAGACCGATCTCTTGAGCCTTACGAAGCCCATCCTGATGACTTGAGATCGTCCTATTTTTATTTTACAGTTTTCCGAGTCATGAGTGCTCCTCAACCACCAAAACCAGAAAAGGTAATGAGTCAGCGTCAAACTCAGCGATTTATTTGATCAATTTGTTAACAATAAAATCCAGGATATCGAAATTCCTCAAAAGCTACTGGGCAATTTAAATTGGTTTTCCTAGACATAGGGCAGTTTTAAGACTTCATTTGACGCTCAGATCAGTTCTCATGTAGAATATGTGCTAGGTGAATATGGTTCAAATTCAATAGTCATCCTTAAACCTTAAGAAAATCTAGTTTAGGAATTATTTAATAGTCACGATTTCTAGGGCGCCACAACAGCATTTCACGTAGAACTAGAATTGCCATTGCTGGATGTGGAAAGAAGAAAGTTTTTATTATACCGTCGTTATGAGTCTCTAACAGAAATACTAGCACCGCCTGAAGAAGAGGAAGTAGAGAAAGCCATATCTACGGTTCTACGACCTAGCACTAAAGCTTTAAGTACGTATTGTTTATTGTTAAGTTCTCTATTCTTAGTGAAGAAAGTGAAAAAAAAATCAATTTTATATACCTTATTACCAATTTAATATATTTTATTTATTACCAATTTAATATAACCTATACCGACCTACCTATAGTTTTAAATTTAAAAATGTTTTTGTCTTTCATATTCAATTAATCGTTTGTATGGTAAATGTTGTTGTATATATGTCATATGATAAATACCCAAATGTTCAAGTACCATAGTGTTCAAAAAATTCTGGGTTACCCACTAAAACTGATAGAATGTACGAGGTCGGGAAGATACTTTTCTATTGCAAAATAACAGAAAACAGTTTTTTTTAGTTATATCTCAACTTTTTTAATGTGACATTATGTAGGTAATGACTTTCAGTTAACGCCAGATTTCATTAAATTCCATTTAGAATCGAAATGAAAACCTCTGGTACACTGACTAAAACACTGTCAAGAGACAGCGCTTGTGAGTTAGTCTTAGTTAAGGAAGATGCTATATGTATTTTATTTTTATTTATTGGGATCGCCTACGAAATAAATACACAAATTATAAACAATTGACAGGCCTGTTGGTCTAGTGGTTGGTGACCCTGACTGCTTAACCGGAGGTCGTGGGTTCGATTCCTACCCAGGACAAGTATTTGTGTGATGAGCACGATCGTTTGTTCTGTGTCTGGGTGTAATTTATCTATGATATGTATGTATTTAGAAATATATAAGTATGTTTATCAGCGGTCTGGTTACCATAGTACAGGCTCTGCCTAGTTTGGAATCAGACAGCAGTGTGTGTAATGTGTGAGTTTATTATTATTATTATTATTTATAATTGACTAAAGCTGTATTAAGTCGGTGTACTCCTTCACCGACAAATATCATAATAGTGTCATAACATAATTGGTTATTTAGACAAAAACAATGTGTTTCAGGTACGATTAAAGGAATTGATGTAGACGAAGCCTCATCTAATGCGTCCAACGTCTACGATCATCTAGTAACCAAATCTTCACGAGTGATAAACAATTTCACTACGTTTGAGAGCAACAAAATACAGTGGGCAAAAGTAATGAACTTCCAAGAACCCACAGTGAAGATATTCTGCCCTGATCTGTTTGCCCTTAGAAATACATTTCGAAGCGTCATAACCGTCAACCTCGTGTATTCAATAGTAATTGTTATGCATATTTTATACTTATTACGGTTGCGAAATATATTTTCTTAGAGGGGCAAACGAGCAGTTGGGTTACTTGATGGTAAGTAACTAGCAGGTAGTTTACTTACCATCAGGTGACCCTCTTTGAGATTCCCTCCTCAGAATAACTAGTCAGACTATCCAAGAAGACTAATCTGATTGTTCGAAGGCATATATTGTTGCAATTACGAGTTAAATATCTTTACATGTGATCATCATCAACATCATGACTGTGTCAACTGTCAGTAATCTGAGAATCGTAAGGGCTTCTTTTAAAAATTATTCCCATTCAGGCTAATACTCCCGAAACAATAAAAGTTATGTTATCGCGAGACGCGACTTTAGTTAATCATAAATTCTAAGTGAGTAATATAACTAATATATGATATTAATAACGAGATACTCAACACTCAACATCTATAATATAATTCTTCCCATAAACGTAGGTATCTAAATACATGTCTATATTATTTGACGACCGAATAGCGTAGTGGTTTGTATATCGGACTGCTATTCCAAAGGTCGCGGGTTCGATTCCCGCTCGAGTCAAACATTTGTGTGCATGAACATTTAATGTTTGAATTGGTCTGGGTGTTTCTATGTACAATACAAACAATACAATACAATACAAACAATACAAAATACAATACAAACAATACAATATTACAATATATTACAATTTCAATATATTATATAAGTTGGTTTGTATACGCTTCAATAACTCAAAAAGTTCTGTACCGAATTAGCTCAAATTTCAGCGAGCTGGTAGCCGATTATAAATTAGCAGTTAAAACACGTCACAACGATGTTTAGATTGCGCCGACTTTAAATAAAAATAAATAGGATAGAAAGATGAGGCTGGCGATGGTCTTAGCTGTGTTATGGTGAGATGGTCGCCCTATGCAGGTCCAAACAAAGGTACATCATCATCATCAACAGCCTATAACAGTCCACTGCTTGACATAGGTCTCTTCTTAGAAAGGAGGTTTTGGCCTACTCCACCAGACTGGCCAGACGGGTTGGTATAGGGTTTGTGTCAAGTTTTTCTTATGTTTGCAGTGTTGTTGTCCTGAGTAGTTTGCTCCCTTAGTCGCCTCTTACGACACCCACGGGATGAATAGGTAGTGACACTCTGTGTTCTTAATCTGTCACCACACGAAAGAAAATACACAAATGTACACAGTAGAAAAAATCTTTCTTACGTCTTTCATTGTCATCAACATCAACAGCCTATACTAGTCCACTGCTGGACATAGGCCTCTCCTTAGAAAGGAGGTTTTGGCCTACTATACCACGCTGGCCAGACGGGTTGGTATAGGGTTTGTTTCAAGTTTTCCTTCTCTTTGCAGTGCTGTTGTCCTGCTTAGTTTGCTCCCTTAGTCGGCTCTTACGACACCCACGGGATGAATTGGGGTAGTGACAATTTGTATTCTTAATCCGTCACCACGCGGAATTTCATTGTAATGTCTTCAAACCTTGAACCTTTGACTAGGTTTTAGTTACTCGAAATATTTACTTGAAGTGTTTGATCAGGTATACGCAAAATCGGGTAAGACGGAGAAGAAAAGCTCCCACGCCCTGAAAATGCCAACGGAACAAAGAGTAGTTTTAGCTTCTATTAAATGTACTTTGAGGAACCCTGACTGGACCCAGCCTTCCCAACATTTTCACTGGGACGACTCTCTCGGTACCGACGAAGCGATTCACTGGGGTGATCGAGATCTTGCAGTAAGTACAATATTACCATTACTGTACGCCTAACAAATAGGTTTTTGGTAACTAGAATCCAGAATCCATACTTCATTACTTATATTATAAACCAGCTGAGACCCGCTTTATTACCCGCGTTTGTTGTTATAACCGCGGGCAACGCCGCGGGGCGAAGCTAGTCTAAAAAAGTAGTCATAAGTTAATCCTTATGTCATCAGCTATCTGCCAGTGAAAGTCCCATCGAAATCGGTCCAGCCGTTCCAGATATTACCCGGAACAAACAGACAGACAGACAGACAAAAATTGTAAAAAATGTTATTTTGGCATATGTACCGTGTAAACATATGCATTTAGTAAAAAGCGGTTATTTTAATATTACAAACAGACACTCCAATTTTATTTATTTGTATAGATGTGAAAGTGAGTTTGTTTGTTTCTTTGTTCGTTTGTTAAGTTTTTTTTAACCAATGCAAATCTACATTATCACCGAGTAACATGGGCTACTTTTTACCGCGATAACCGACATACATGCGGGCAGAGCCGCGGGCAAAATATAGTTCTTAATAAAATCAAATGTAGTTATTATATAAACGTAGAGGTCAGTCTTAGACTCCAACTAATTAATAAGTATTCCTGAAGGGATATAAACTGCACTGCTTCTTGCACATTGCATGAATCTTTCATAGTGTGGGTTGTATCTTAATTTTTAATCAACCGCTGCGTCTTATGAGAGTCTTATTTGTCATACAAATCAGAAGTAAGTTAGTATGTATTCATAAGCATTAAAAACTTGAAGGTTTATTTCGAGTTGGGAATTGGGAATTCCGAGTCTTCATCAAGGGATGTTTTCGTATCAATTCCAGCGATTTATCTTCCGTGAGCAGCTAACGGGAACGCCTGCGAATCTAATGAGATGTGTGCTGCACGGCCGTTAGTAGCAGGCACTATTGTACACGATAAACTTTATCAGTGTGTAATCTCGAACCAGGCTCCTCCTAGACTAGTTTTAATTCATCTATACATAAAAAATTAATTGCCCTGACTGATTGACACAAACTTGAAATTTTGGCAGCTGATGCTTTTTATGTAGTAAGTACCAACTAAGAAAAAAAAAAAATTGGGGTATGGAAGTTCGTCATTTTCAAAGTCAACACGAAAAAATAAATAAACACGCGAGCGAAGCCGCTTCAATAACCTGTGTAAAATATTAACAGAGAAAAAATATGTAAAATCTGCATTAATATTAGATTTCCCAATACAGTCGATTCTAGCAAATTTTATATGATAATAATACATTCTTAAATTATCACAAAATTTCTTATTGATTTATTTCTGAGCCATGGTTACTTTAGATTGATTTATGGCATATAATAATGGCACTTCGTCGTAATACTGCTATTCTAAAAACTCATAAACTTATTAATGCATTTCAACCATGAATTACAATGTAAAAGTTACGATTCAATAAGCAATAACTGAGTGTAAGGGGATTTCGCATAATTTAGATAATCCTACTTGAATTATATGTCCAAAGGTATTTCTGTGAAGAGAAAGAACAGTTCCTATATCTTCACATGTACAAGTATTATATGTGTCATTCCTTTAATAGTCGTATAGAACTTAATATTTATTAATGCTGTGTGTGCTCAATAGAGTTAAAATTAGTGGTCGTCGATAGGCTAGAAGCGCGGATATATAAAGCAATTCTCGTTAGACAGTTGCGTGACATGATTCCAAGACAGCGAACTCTCCTCCTTTCTCAGGGAGCGAACTGAGCGAATTTTCCTCTTTTTTGGAGAAATCCCAGTGATCTGTTTAAAGTGGGCGCGAGGTTAGCAGTTTATATTTCATGGGAAATAGAGAAAATTAGAAAAAAACAAAGCATGTAGTCAAGTAACAATGGTTAATCTTTTAATTATACTTTCGTGTATCGAAGGATATAGATATCTTCAGCTGAAGTAATTATGCTTACACGTTTGAAAATGATGTTTCGCTCAGAAAGAGAACTAGAATACTGTTGTAGTTGTCCAAACTACAACAGTATTCTGAAACAGCTATGCAACATTTTTTTAAATTTCAGAATTTCATTATGATATTCGGCAAAATAGGCCTCTCCCATTGCACGCCACTTAGATCGATTTTGATCGATTCATTTATGTCCAGCAGTGGACTGCGATAGGCTGATGATGATGATGATGATGATTCGGCAAAATGAGCTAAGTTAACATCAGAAGTAAGACACAACAAGCAAAGTGAGAGACATGTTATGATTCACGTTTCTTCACCCGTTTCTTATAAGATATTTTATTTATAGATACTTAAGTCCCTACTACAAAACATAAATGAACATCTTCTTTTTATTTGCAATAAATGCTTCCAGGTAATTCAGTACACCCAGGCGCCCGTAAAAGTGGTTAAAGGAAAACCAGAAGCTGATCCAGCTACCAGCTCCCGTCAATTGCCCCCGGAAAATCTCACTTGTCACTTCGGTTTCGGAATTGAGACCATCCGTGCTTCCTAAAATCAATAAATGAGCTGTGCAACATTTTCCTGTTAGTTATTTGTAGTACATCTCAAAAATAATATTACCGAGATAAAGTCTCGATTTATACGTATATTTAGGTACTTTGACAATTTCCAATTCGTTTAAAACAAAATACGGCATTTATCTACTCGTTGTTGCCCCTGAAGCACAGTAAGAGTAAACATTAAGTTTTAAATATATTAAAAAACATTAAAACAGATTTTTTATAAAATACTTGACAAAATGGGTTAAGGTCACAAATTTTAAATATAATAAAGCGAGGACATTGGGATAAAAACATATTGTAAATAAATTTTTAAAAACAAACGTCGTCAATAATGATAAGCAATGGCAATGATTTTTGGTTTATCATTTATTTATTTACATTGTTAAAGGTTGGGACAGACATTGGCGGCAACGGCAGTTCCCGAAGCCCTCCTATTATAGTTAAACCGCCGTAAGCTTGGCCCTCCTGATGGTTTGCGGGACGCGGGGCGGGTGATGCGTTCGGCTATACATGACACGATGTACTAACTCGATATCTTCAGATTTATTTGTTTGAGATTTAATCTACACACGATGTAATAAAAATCGAATTTATTTCTATGTATTATAATGTCAGTGTATTGTAAGTTTTTATGATTAATTGTAAAATTTAATACTGTAAAATAATTTTAATAAAATCACCTTATCTTCATCATGTAAATTATATTCAGATACAATTTAAAAATTTAGTAAAATAATAAATATTCTTTATTAGAACTTTAACAGTAGAACCTCTGTAAGCCGAACTTCAAGTTTTTAAAAGTTTTTGTGACGCAGAGTCGGCAGATTATCCATATTGCAAAATAATACCGTGTGTAGCAGTTTTAAGAAAAATAACGCGTACAGCCATGCTTTAACGTCGGTCACTGCCGGCGGACAGCGACGCACCAGCTAATTGGTTGAATGCAGCCCCGCCCCGCGTCCCCCAAACCATCAGGAGGGCCAAGCTTACGGCGGTTTAACTATACAGGCGCAGAGTGCACACCGTGTGGTTTTAATCGGTCCGATTCCGACACACCACCTCACCGCAAACCCCGGTGGGGTGACGGCCCGAGGGGGTTTCCATACGTAAAAAAAAACATTTGGTGGCACACCAGGGGGTGTAAATTGTTTGAGAGAGTTCTCTCTGCCCGCATCGTCCGACACCTCTGCGAGGTGGGCTCCGATCTGTCGGACGTCAAATTCGATTTTCGAGCGGGGCGTTCGACGGTCGACGCTGTATTGCGCCTCAGGACCGTGACCGAAGAGGCGGTGAGCCGTGGCGACGTGCTGTTGGCGGTATCGTTGGACATCGCCAACGCATTCAATAGTCTGCTATTCAGCTGTATCAGGAAAGCACTCCACTATCATGGGGTGCCAGAGTACCTGAGGCGGCTGGTGGCAGACTATTTAGAGGAGCGTACCGTCATGTACGAGGACCAAGATAGGGCTTTGAGGCCATATCGTGCGGTGTTCCGCAGGGGTCTGTTCTGGAACCACTCATGTGGAACATGGGTTACGACTGGGCCCTTCGTGGTCGCCTCCCCCCTGGGCTGGGCGTTATTTGTATATTATGCCGTTACGCCGATGACACGCTGGTTACAGCCCGGGGAGCGGACTTTCAAGAGGCCGCGCGCCTAGCCACCAGGGCAGTCTTTCTGGTAGTCGACCGCATTGAGGCGCTGGGCTTGCCCTGGATAAGACGGAAGCCCTCTTATTTCATGGGCCCCGTCGGGCAAACATAACGTAACAGGAGATTTGTACAATAATGCTCTCATTGCTCTTAGAGTTGCCAGGTCCCACTACAGAGCTGCTGTGGAAAAATCCAAGGGAAACTTAATTCAGAAACTTGTTGATAAACTCGATAGAGAGGGCCCGTGGTCACCTTTGTATCACGAATTTAAGGCAAATAGATCAATCGACCTTGCATACATACAGAACATCAAAATTAATAACAGATATACCACAGGAGTAGAACAAACAGCAGAATATCTTGTAGACTCACTCGTACCTGACGATCGGCCGGAAAACGACACTGATCATCACCGACAGATCAGGCAGTGGGCCATCGAACCACCACTGTCTACAATGTCTGATTTACCATCTTCAGACGAATTTCTCGGTATCGTTAGATCCTTGCCGCTAAACAAGGCTTCGAACGATGATAAAATATCTAACAAAATGATAAAAGAAGCTTGTAAACTTTCGGGTGACACGATTTTCACTGTCTTTAAACGTTGCATTGCTGAAGGAATATTTCCTCGTATATGGCGGTGCGGTAATATTCGTATAATACCAAAAAGTGGCGACAAGCCACCGGATGATCCTAAATCCTACCGACCAATCACATTGTTACCATCGTTAGGAAAGCTTTTAGAACGTCTTGTAGTGCCCCGGCTTCTGCCAGGTGGAATCTAATTTAATGATAGACAATTTGGATTTACGTTGGGTAAATCGACAACTGACGCTGTTATATCGGTTAGAAAGTTTCTCACAGAGTCAAACTTTCAATACGTGCTGGCTATTTTCTTAGATATATCTGGCGCCTTCGACAACGCATGGTGGCCCATGCTGTTGCTGAAATTAAAATCACGGAGGTGCTTTAAAAATATTTATTCCCTTATCTCTTCGTACTTTTCACAAGGTACAACTAAACTAAGACTTGGTCATCATTCTGTGTGGAAGGCGCTTACAGTGGGATGTCCTCAGGGATCGGTGCTAGGTCCATACTTGTGGAATATCGGCTTCGACGATTTTCTTGCGATTCCAATACCATCCGGATGTACTCTGAACGCGTATGCTGATGACGGCTTATTACTGGTGGAATCTGATACTAGGGCGGGGCTTGAGAGATTAGCCAATAGATGTTTGAACTTGATATCTCAATGGGGTGAACGTAATCGCTTAACTTTTGCACCCAACAAAACCTTCCAGCTACTTTTAAAAGGTAACCTCAAATCACCGCCGAGCATTAGATTTGACAATGTTACTGTAAAAAATAAAACCTCAGTGTGTTATCTAGGACTAGTTTTAGAAAGAAACTTTTCATTTATCGAACATATTAAAATAGTTAACGAAAAGTCTAAAAAGAGTTTCTGTGCATTGACAAGGATATCAACTGCGACATGGGGTCTATCATTTAATACATTGAAGATCATATACGGAGCTACTTATTTAGGTTCTATGTGCTGGGGTGCGTGGTCCGGAACCTCCTTGTGGTGCACCCTGGGCAACGGAGACGGCAGCGCCTCTCTCCCTAGGTGGGAAAGGCGCTGCCGCCTGCGGCCAATTCCGGCCGAGGTGGGAACGGCCCGTCAAGGGCTGTTCGGAGGTCTGCTTTCCGCATGTCCCTCTGTTTGGCAGAGGGCATAGGGGAGAGCGGGCTGGGGGCGGACGGGTCCACTGCCGCTGGCTCTGTCCAGAGGTGGTGGACACTGGTCTGACGCAGACCACCGTCCGGCCATGTCGTAACCCCGACTGGCAACAGTCAGGAATGACGGCTCTTCGAGGGCTACGAGGAAGGCAACCTCTATAAAAAACCCTGGGGCGGACGGACCCGGTCTGGTGCAGACCCCGTCCGGCCCAGCCGTAATCCTGAATGGACAGGACCGGTGGATCTTCGGATCCGCGAGGACGTAAACCTCTATAAAAAATGCTCTAAGCCCACGTTCTGACGCCTGGCAAGGGGCTGAGTCGCTGGAGGGAGTCCAGTGCCGAAGGCGTCCCCGTCGAAGGACGTTAAACTAAAAAACATGACATGAGGAATTAAGGATTATTAAATCTACCCAGGAGGGTCCCGGACACACAGTGTCTGGGGAATCCCTCCCGGAGCCAAACGGCTCCGGCAGCTCCCACTCGTATTCTGGGGGGAGCACCAAATGTCGAACCTGCCCGTCGCCGAGCAGTAAATCCGGCGACGTTATCGCGGAGGACGCGAAAAACCTGGAGGTAGTGTCGAACACCGACACTGCCTCGGAGAGGAGCGGAGCGAGTACCCCGATGGTCTCAGCTGCAGAGCAGCACCAGAAGGGTACTCCAAAGCGCAAAAGGCGCTCGCTTCGCCTGGGCCTGAAGAGGCAATTGGAGTCGGCCTCGAGCGATGAGGCCTCGGCTCCCAAAGTCGGCACAAGCCGCAGAGGCGCTCGCGGCGGAGGCCGACTCCCCAAGGCCATGGTGGCCCGAAAGAAGGTGGCGGTCCAGTCCGCGGCTCTGGGAGGAGCCGAAGATGGGGGTCTTGGACGGAGACAACAGGAGGGGGTCGCGTCCGAGATGTCGACCACTGATGTGGGGAGCGGGGGTGGGGGTGCTGGCCTCGTTGAGCTGCGAGGCAAAACCGGCAACCCCGTCGACCGGATCGAGGAGGCAATCGGCGCGGCCGATTGCTTGCTTCAGACGTCCGGTGTGGCCGGGGGCCCCCAACAGGAGGCCCTGGTAGCGGTCATGCGCTCCATAATCGAGGCGGGCAGACTCCTTGTGGCCGAGAGCAGGGCCCACGCTAGGGAGAGAGCCCGCCTCGAGGCGGATCTCGCCAAGGCTCGTGCCCACGCTGGTGCCACACCAGCGCCTTCGGCACCGTTGGCGCTGTCCGCCCCGGAGCCGGAGCCGGAGCCGGGCTTAGTCCGACTCATGGCGGAGATGGAGGAGCGGATTATGAGGCGCATCTCCGCAATAGAGAGCGCCCGTTGTCGCCCACCTCTGGCTCCGCCAAAGGCGACATATGCGGCCGCTGCCAAGGCGGGCCTAACAGCCCAGCCAGCAGCTAGGGTGGCTGGGCCGTCATCAGCGCCCCCGCCCCAGAAGGCCGGAAAGGGCAAAGGGAGGGGGAAGGCGGCCCCAACTCAAGCCCCAGTCTCGGCCCCGGCTGACACAGCACAGCGCCCGTTGGAGCGGGGCTGGACGGTGGCCAGGCCAGCAAAAAGAGGCGGAAGGCCGCCAAAAAAGCGGCCAAGAAGGCGAGGAGGGACGCCGCCGCC